TATATCAGATTTGAATTAATTCAATGCGTTTTATAAATTTCATTATTTATTTTTGCTAGCAATATTATTATATTAATATTGTATTTTAATAATATTTTTGTTGATATTTTGAAAAGTATCATGATATTTTAAAAAATAAGCAGTGATTATATTTATAGAAAAAATTGAAAAGATATCATTTAAAATCATTTAAATTGAGATATATTTTTTTATAATTATTAAAAATTTTTATTTTAAAATTTTTTCAACACATAATAATAATTAATTATACAAAAATAATTTTCTATTATTAATTTCCTATATAAAACATTTTTAAAAATTATGATTATATTTTTCATACTATTAATAAAAAAATTTAGACGAATATTCTATTATCTCAAGTAGTAAAGTCAATAATATATGAAACATATCGTGATATACAGAGTAGTAAATAACGATATATGATCAAACTAAATGACATGCTCACGTTATCTATTACTATATTATCTATATATATTACTATATTATCATGCAATGCATTCATACATTTATAAAACAAATGTTCTTGCCTTATCGTCTTAAATTTTATTCACAATGATCATTATATTGAATCATTATAATTGATGCGATTTTTTTTATACTACATTCTATATTTTTTATATACTATATTTTACTGATTGTATTATATTCCAACTGATTTAATATACTAATAATAAATTTTATTAACAAAATTATGTTATGGAATTTTTTGATTATTGGAATAGTAATTTACTTTATTCTATTTTTATTATATTTGTGATTATACAAAAATTTATTTTATATAAATTTATTTTGGAATTGATAAATAAAAGAATAAAGAAAATGTTATATAGTTACAAAATTATTGTAAAAACTTAACAATAATTTTATAATTTATTTATTTATTACTTTTTTTTATTTATATTTATTTATTTTTTTCTTTTTCCATAGAAAATGGAAATATAATTTTATTATACTATAAGTCAATATAGTATTTTTTGTAATATATTTCAATTTTAATAAATATATTTAAATAATAATAAACGATAGAAATATCTAAAATAAATAATTTAAATTTAAAATCTCAATATATTTAATTATTTTACGGTTGTTTAGATACTTTATTATATCTATTATATATTTAGAAAAGAATATATTTCATAAGAAATTTATTTATTTTTTTTAATAATTTTATCCGGTCACAAAAATTCTTTATTTTTTAATAAATAAGAAAATTTAATATTATTATTATCATTATGAAACATAATATAATAACTTCAAACATAATAATATAATTTTACTATTATATAAAAATATTATTTGCTGAAAAGGAAAATTAAATAAATATTATATACAATATATTTTCTATAAATATTTTCAATGTAATTATTAAAATCTTTTAATATTAACAATAATTGAATAATTAATTAAATAATTGAAATATGAAATGTTAAGATTTACAATCACATCAAACTTTTTTATCGAATACATTTATTCCATTAATAATGGATTTCTTTTTCCATGCAGAATAGAACGAGCGCACGAGATAGCAGAACAAATGTCGCAAGGATGATGAGCTCTATGCAAACACAATTGCCTGGATCCTTGTACGATTCGGATCAAATTGATCCGTATCGACTTCTCGAGGATGATCTTAAAGATATTTATGATGATATACGAGAGGTTAGTCAATTTCTAAGATTTATTTATCAGAGAGATGAATAACTTTTATAACTTGCATGTTGTTATATTCATTATGAAAAAATAGAATGAAAAAATTATGTAATTATTTTTATTATTTTTTAATACTGAAAAATCTTATTAAATTCAGATTTAGTATATAAATGACATAAAATTAGTTTTAAATGCAAAAAATTAGTTTTTAATTCTTATTTTTATTATATTATCACTTGTATTAATATTGATAATATAAATAATATTAATAATATAAATATGTATATGTATATTAAAAATACTTATAAAATAATAATTTTCTTGAATCTTAAAATCGAATTTCTTTATCCAAAATTATTTTTACATAATAATATAATTTTACTATTATATAAAAATATTATTTGCTGAAAATAAAAATTAAATTACTGTAAATTATTAAATAAATAAAATTAATAAAATTAATAATTTTTAAAAGATTTGTAGCATTTTAAAAAATTTATTAATCAAATTCAGATTTTAATAGTTATAGATTTTTATTATTATTTATTATATTATATTAATATTAGACTTTAATATTATTATGAAAATTAACTCTTGTTTATTATAAATCATGAATAAAAAAAGAGAATTTTGTTTTTACGTCCCATCTTAATAACTATTAATTAAAATATATATCAATTAAAATATATCTTTTTATTTTCTATCTTCGTTTCTTTATCAAATTATTTTATTTTTTTCTCAATTTTATTTTAATATCAATGCATTTTATACATTAACTTTCTAACAATATATATATATTCTATGGTCTTAGCTTAATGAGTTGGGAAAATATGGAAATCGAATTCCTTAATAAAATTTACTTACTTTGAAATATGAAATGAATAACTTAAATTTTTTAAATTATTATTATTGGTATCAAGAAACTTATATTATTATATTATTATTTTAATAAATAAATATATAATAAACTAAATATTTTTTTAATTTTTAAAAAATAATTCTTAAAAAAACTGTTTATTGACAATAATTTTACTTAATTATAAAATAGTTATAAAATAAATTTTTATATGATAATGTTATTTATTTTATTTTTGTTTTTTATAAAATTCATTTCATAAAATGAAAAGTATTTAATATTAACAAATAATTATAAATAACAAATAATTAATTTTGTGAAAGGAAACGTTTTTTAATGAAGGATTAAATAAGAATATTAAAGATAAATTGAAATTTAGTTTTTTAGATCTGAATTTGAAATTAAAAAATTTATTTTTAATTTTTTTTCTAAAAAGCAAAATTTATTTTATCAACAATTTAAATTTTAATAAATTTTAATTTATATAATTCTAGTTTGAAGTTTATTAATAATAACAATAATCATTATTTTGACTTAGGTTACAAAAGTAAAAAAAAATAAAAAATTAAATATTTTTTTTTATTTTATAAATAAACTATTATGATGGATTAGTAAAATCGCATCAATTAAAATGAAGTCTTTTTTTAAAAAAAATTTTAAGAAAAATTTAATTAAATTATTATTAAATGAAAAAAAATAAATTTATATAACAATATTTTTATAAATTATTCCTGCTTTGAAGTTTCGAATATTTCGAATTACAAAAATAGCATAAAATTTCAAGATTGAAAAAGTTAAAATTTGTTGAATTTCAAAGGATTTTAAGATTTCAATTCTAAAAAAATATGTTTCAAAAATTTCTTATTAAAATTTCTTATTTTTATTTTTATATATTTAATAATATATTTGATAAAAATAAAAATTAAATTATTGAATTTAATTTTATAAAATTAAGAAAAATATTTACAATATTTTAAAATATTTATTAATAAAATTCAAATTTTTATGTTTTTAATTTCATTATAGAAGATAATTCTAATTTGCTATTAAAAGATATGAATAAAGAAGAATTTTTTGTTTTTACATTTCATTTCATTTTAATGCATACAAATTAAGTTAAAATCATCTTAATATGGCAAACTTTTATAAACAATTTATTGTGTTATGAAATCTCGATAATTTTTTTATATAAGAATATTATTCTTATATGGAGCATTTCTTTCAGGCAAATCGAACAACTGATTAAAATCAAATTCCTGATACCATTTTCGGTAAAAACCGCATTGATTCGCTGCGAATTGTTAAATAGTTCCATGAAATCGTTTTAACAGTGATGATTCAGATCCGAAAGAAAAGATATATATAATCGTACATATAAGAAAAAGTAAATGAATCAATTGATTTACGTCATCGTTGTTTTTTTGTTATCGAAAAATTTTTCTTTTTGATATCGAATAATGTAAAATTTCGTTTGTGAAATCATATTCTATAAATAAAATCCAGAAAGATAAATTTTTCAAATAGACAATTAAAAATAAATATTTTTATTCTTCTAATAATAGAGGATTTTAAAAATAATAATCTTTTTTTTTTTGAAATAGTATGTTATGTTATCATCAATAATCGAAACAATATCAATAATCGAAAATTTTTGCTATTTTTGATTTCTGATCCATATGCTGTTTGATTAATTTTTATTTAATTATCAAAATATCATAACATTTTTGATATTTATGACATTCTTACTCAATAGCATTAATGTTAAATGTATCTTAATGTATCATAATCGTATCTTTATGAATAAGAATTTAAAAAATTTCTGAATTCAACACAATAAAAAATGATAATAAAATATGAAAATATAATAAATGATAATTTAAATGTCCTATACACGGACAAAACTCTTTATGTGATAGAACATTATGAAACATGGATAAAAAAATGGGTATATTTTCAAATTCAGAATCTTGAAACTTTTCTTAATAGAAATAAATTTCATATTATTGAACAAGAGATTAAAAGATATAAAATATACCTTTATAAACAAAAAAGATACCTTTATAAACAACATCGATAGCACATATTTTTTTTACAAAACATTAGAACGAATAAGATAAATAAAAAAAAGACTCACGGAGTCAGAATTAAATATCATAGACTCTCGACATGAACTTTGAATTTTATACTATTTTATTGCGGATATTCAAACTTTATACAATTTCATTGTATATAGCATTATTTTTGAATTATTTAAATAAACATTTTATGTTGGCAAATAAGTATTTTTATTATTTGCTAAATAATCGAATTTACGAATTTTATAGAAATCATAAAAAAATATCAAATATTTTATTTCACTTTATATAAATATCATAATATTAATATTATTTTAAAATGAGTTTTTTATTAATATAAAAAAATAATATTTCAAATAATAATAGTGCAAATAAGATTTCAACTATAATATTATTAGAATGCAATATATTTGAATCTTACTATCGTATATAATACAGCATAAAAAACTCAATCTATTTTCAATTTATTTTTAATTAGAGAAGAAATGTTTACTTTGTAGAAGAAATGAAAAATAGAATGTGGTTACCTTTGAGGTTAATTGCATTTCAATAAAAAAAAAAGAAAAAAAAATATTTACCTTGAATTCGAATAAAATAGTACAAAATAGTATAGTATTTGTTATAATATAAATATATTATTTATATTCAAATATATATACTATTTA